TCTCGACGCACAGGCAGGGCCATATCTTTATGTCTGGAGCCTTTGCGCTTGAGCACGAGACTTCAGGGCTTTTTCTCTGATGTCGGTTTGCTGTCAAAGCAGGAGGCTCCTGAACACACTTTGACGCCCAATCCTGCCCAATCCCCAAAACCGATACGCCCCAGATCATCCCTTCAGTCCTAAACCCTGAGCCCTTAATTAACGTTACATCCGAGACCCGCAGCCCCAGACCCTACGTCCTCAAGAAGGACATAAACAGAAAAATTGCGTGTCTTTGTTCGCCTTGAACCCCCCTAAACCGTCAGTGCTAGGCGCAGCCACAGCCCCCCAAAAAAAGAACTCGGTCAGAACGAGTCGTTCAAAACTTCGGCCCCCAAACCTTTAGCAATTTCTATCATCCCCAACCCTGCAAGCCCCGAAAGCCCACCCTCCGAAGTCGCATATGCCGAGTGTGCTGGAAGGAGTCTGTCACCACGGCCTGCCGCCCGTCCGCAGAAGCCAGCATTGTTGTCTCAGAGAGCGAGGATTGTCGTATCTTCACACTGGGCATGATGAGCCCGACGGTCGAATTCTGCAGTTTCGATGGGTTGATGAGAGCTACAACTGCTGTTGAGTTAAGTGTTGAGAATCGCATGAATGGCAGCATGGCAGGATTTGTGGCACACATCATATCGGGCAGCGTATTGCACACAGCCACACGATCTATTCTGATCAGCATATTGACCTTCGTTTCCGCCTGTCCGGCACTCCTGATACGATTGGATGAGTTCGTCTCTTTCAGGTCCCGATGCCGCCTTGCTCCGAACAGCTTTTCCGAAGCTCGGCATCGACCTGCCGCTGGGCCAGGTTGTTCAAGATGCTGCTTTCGTTAACGTAACGACTTGAAATGGAAATAAGACATGCTCCCTTTTGGCCCGATCGGAGCTCTTCTGTCAGCATCGATATCTCAAGGGAAGGCACCAGACCTGAGTTTCAAGGGCAGGGCTGTTTGCTGTGGGGTCTGCACTACTGTAGTGCGGAATCTCACTTCGCCTTCGTGGTCGGCTAAGGCATGGCTTTCCGGGAAGCCACTGTGAATGGGACGGCGTGGGGTGCCACTCTGACTGGTGCAGGGTGGAGAGTCTCTATCTTCGCGATCGGCAGTTGACAGGACACGCACTCCCGCTGCCTGACCACCTACTGTAAGACCGAAGAAAGCCTTCTGGCCGTTTGTTTTGGGTGCTGGCAGGAGAGCTGCCGGCCGAACTCGGGGACTTGGCAGAACTGCAAGAATTGCAGTTGTACAACAACCGGAACCTGAGAGGCGAAGTGTCCACCCTTGCCAAGCTGGTGCACCTCGAGGTCCTCGTGTTGCGCTATACCCAGATCCGAGGGGATCTAAGCTTCGTGAGCCGCATGGAGAAGATGCGGATGCTCGGTCTCGGAGAGACGCAGGTGGTCGGCAAGCTGCAGTCGCTGGCAAACCTGACCGAGATGACCGGGCTGGGGCTCGGAAACACTCGGGTGGGTGGGGATCTGATGCCCCTGGCTGAGATGCACAAGATGCGATATCTCGATCTCGGAGGCACCCAGATCCAAGGCCAGCTGCAGCTGCTGGCGAACATGACCGAGATGACCACACTGCAGCTCGAAAACACCCGGGTCGGCGGGGAGCTTCGGTCGCTGCAGGCCGGAGGTAGCTTTGTGTGCTCGCCAGCCTGAGACCCGCTCTAGTCCCGGCCTTCACGCGCTTGGAAGGCGATGCGGAATCTAGAAGAGCTGCGGCTCCAGGGCACGGGGGTCTCCGGAAGCCTGGAGTTCCTGACGGAGTTCGAATGGCTGGAAGAGGCTAATTTGGCCTCGACTGCTGTAACAGGAGGCGGGGAATGCAGACTCACGGCCTAGGTCTAGGCGCCCTTAAATCTCGCATCCTTTGTCATCTTTGTCCTGGGATGCATCTCCTCAGAGTGCAGTGCTTGTTCAGATTTGTCCTGAGCTATCTTGTCCAAAGAGCGCAGAGCGATGTTCTCGAAGTGTACTTCATACGCTGCGGAATGAGAGGCTCGCGATTGCTTGATGCCAAGAACTGAGACCAGCATCTCCCCAGTCTGGCAGGAAAGGGCCCCACCGCGCTTGATAGCCCTTCGCCAATATTCCTTGTCGTTTTTTGTCACATTTGGGTACCGTTTTTGATTGAGCGAATGTCGCGTCGGATTGTGACGAACATTGAAGGAACATCCGACAGCTCGGCGAGACGTGCAAAGATATCCACTCTTCCTGCACGAGAGGGGTTCTCAATCATAATGTGGGAAAGACAAGTTCACCCACATTGCAATGGCAAACGGCAGTAAGTTCTTTGGCCTAGGTGCCAACATGTACATGATGTTTCGTGACGGCACAGAAAAAGCCAAGTCGTTCATCGGATTTCCGTGGACTTTGTCTGTACTCAAGCCTGCGTCTTCTTTGGAACTCTCGATGGTTTGCAAGGGCCATTGCCGGCACTGCTCAGAACCTGGCAAGAATTCGCACAGCTGCCGAGCGAACTTGGGACTTTTGCATCGGCGGGGCCGGGGAAGGAAGGGTGCAGTGCTGCCTTAGCGTCAAGTATGCAGTCGGCCCAGTGCAAGGCCAGAAGCCTTCTCGAATGCATGGGACAGAACCGCAGTCGTGGTTGTGCTAGATCACTCTGTCGTGCACCATTTGTCATGCATCTCTCTCAAAGATTTTCTCGCTGGCATGCCAAACTTTGATGGAAGTTGTGCT